TGTACCCGTAATTGTAATTTAATCTCACTATACAACATGGATTTACTTATGATTAAAAGCACTTAATAAGACTAAAAATAAATGAAGAATTTTTGTTAAATAGTCAGCCATGATGTCAGATGTAATCCTGTTGAACATCTGATAAAAAAATATGAAAATTGCAGTTTGGAGACGCCACCGTTTGGACCTGAGAGTGTCACCAGTTTGATCATGTAAGGAACTGGTAAATGAATACCTCTGCTAGTAAAGAGGGCACCATCTTTTTAATCTATTCCCGTCTGTTTAATTATATGAAAAAAAAAACATAAGAAAAAGCAACGACTAATTTGTGCTAAACATGGTATAAACAATAACCATGTCAGTCTGAAGTGATTTTTATTGCAGTGTTTCTTGAATCAGCGTGAAAGAATGCCCAGCTCATTCGTGTAGACTCAACTTTCAAAGTACCAGATTACATGTCTCCTGCCATTTAAGGGATGTCAAACGCAATGCCACCAACTTGCATAATTTGTGCCAAATTTATGTGACCATTTAAAAAAAACAAAACAAACAAAATTGCACATCGAGTTTAACGCAAGAACTAAAAAGGGACAGCTTTCATCAGTAATTAAAAGCTTATTGTGAAGTAGCTTGTGTTCATTAGCGATTTTAAACTGCCTGGGGTTGAGTAGTGCAGTCAAGCACATCACTAGCCTAACAAAACAGTTCACAAGCGCTGAGCCTCGGCTCAGAATCCGCAGGGTCATGTGTAGGTGTGAGCAGCTAACAGAACGAGAGTTGGACGGCACCACCACGGCTCATGTGAAGCCAAAGCCCACGCTGTGCTGATCAGACAGAGATCATCTGCTAAGTCTCGAAATCTATAACCCGGTCCCTTATGGGTGAGAAAAAGATTTACATAACTCAGAACGAGAACAAAGTGAGAGCCTGTACAGTTAATTACATATATTAAAGTAGCCGGAGTGAGTCTGCGCTTCAGCGAGAATGCCCAGAGGTGACGAATAGGTGATTATTTTTCATATGCCTATAGATTTATGTGCAAAACGGGAGCGCCGGAGCTTATGCGTCAAATAGCTGCAGCAGTACAAAAACAGAAATAGTCATGCATGAAAACAATTATTTTCCTATCTTAATTGCTTTCCGAAGTAAATACTTTCTGTCACCTTTCCAATTAAAACGCACCCAGGAGCTACGGTGGATGTATTTTTAAATGGTGCCTGCAGCATGTCTTGTTTAAGATTATCACTCTACATGTTAATAACCCGTTTCTTTTAAACATGCAGAGCAGTCAGAGTGGCTTAGGAAAAACATGCCTCACACAGGACACCAGAACCGAGTGTTCGGCAGCACAGACGAGGATCCAACTGTAATAATTTACATTTTGTCATCTAGTAATCCTAAATAATACAAAGCCAAATGGATAATGTTTATAGTATCTTTTCAATTAGGATAACACTTGTACAAAATTCCTCTTCCATGCCTTGTCTCATGACATTTCTCAACCCATCTGACATATACTTGGTGAAGTGTGAACTGCTTTGCAAATGAGGGTTATTCTTGGAGAGTCACGTCTCCTCTGCCTCCCCCCTGTGTACCCTGGAGAAGGTTGTAAAAGCTGTTGTCCTTTAGTTACGACGGAGAGCGAGGAGGAGTTGGAGATAAAAAGCGAAAGGAAAAAGCTCTTCAGCTTGAGCCCTCCTTTCTCCTCTTTCTGTCTGCATCTGTCTCCAATCCCATTGCCTATCTCTTTTATTTACTCTCTCTATTTTTCTCCCGCTCTCTCTCTGTCTGTCTCCCTCTCCTTCCCTCTCTGCATGTGCCTGCTGCTCTGTCATCCTCAGGGATGCATCTGAAGGAGACCATCTGTTGATCCATTTGTCTACTGCTTCATTTCCTGTGCCACAGCCTCTCTACTATCGACAATTGGCCCTGGCCTTTCCGCTGCCCACCCTTTTTTGTTAATACCAACAAACCCTCGGGATAAGGGTGCTCTAATGTCGGGGTGTGGTAGAAGGTTGTGCTCAGATTCTCTCAAAGACTAGAAGCGTGTCTCGGATGGTGTCCAGACCATTGTCGTGTATGCACAGCAACGATTTGATTTGTGCGGAAGGATAGAAGAAGACTGCTCCAAATCATCTCCACTGAAAAAAGTGAATTAACAATTTTACCACAATTTTCAAATGTGAAACCACAGCTCTTAAAGACAAACTTGGAACATTTAGGCCAAAGAACAGATTTTAATCAGTATTCTCAATGTTGCCAAGTTGACTCAAGTGCAATTAATGATAAGTACATACTCAGGACTTGAAGTGCACTTTATGAAAAACTGTTGTGCCCAACTCAAAAGAATTATTCCAATTTAAAAGGTAAATAACTTCAATGGTACTCAGGTAAGAATACAACACCATGAAATTTCCTGTAAGATTGTACAAATTCATAGTACAGCTTACAAACTCGTATTACTAGCAAGAGTGGTAGTAATAGTATTCCTTTTAATTTTTCTTTTATAATTTCATCACACTCTTTCCAAGGCACACAATATTCACTTTATCACATTATTTATGTCAAGGACACAATATATATGCAGCCCACACACGTAATGCAGTCAACACACGACCTTTTATTTGCAGCGATGACTCTGTGAGCTCTTTTAATTAGCCTTATACAATATAAACTCAGTTTTATGAATGCATAGGAGTCTTACTACGAAGGTTAGAAGGAAATTCTTTGAGTTTACTTGCTGTCTTATTGCTATAAAATAGACACTTGTGTAACAGCATCAAAAGGTGTTGACCGTTCGCTTCAGTGCTGATAGTCCAATTGGGCAACTAATTAAAATTATCAGTTTGTCTGATTTTATTCTTTATGTGTGTTTGTGAAAAATCAATGTTCTTTTATTCTATGAACTACTGACAACATGTCTCTGAAATTCCATTAAGTATTAATTTGCAGAAAATGAGAAATGGTCAAAATAAGGAAAAAGATGTGGTGCTTTGAGACAACAAATAATGCAAAGAAAACAAACTGAGATTCATTTAGAAGCAACAATACTAATGTTTTAACTCAGGAAGCGTTCAGAAATCAATATTTGTTATACCAAAGATCACCACTTGGTGACCAGGGTTGTGAAGAAAGACGTGATGTCATGGGTAAATATGCCAGTGACATTACATACTCCAGTCATCCATGGATTGGGCAGCTTGGGGGGATATTTTCAAATGTCATGAGTCCAGCACCAACCGCCTCTACACATAATCTCCACTGATTTATAACTCACACAGCCACAAATCAGATGTTCCAGTAATGGTCCAATAATAACTTTACTTATTTATTTGCATGCCACACTACAGAAAAAATAAAAGTGGAGAAGTTTAAATATCCTTAGGTCTTGTTCACGAATGAGGAAGAAGTGATGCGGACTCTGTATGTCTCAGGTCTGAATGTCTGAGTGTGGAAAAGAATAATATCATAGGGACTATGCTGTCTTGTTGACAAAAGTTTTATCCATTCATCCCTTCGTTCACTTTTCATTGACTGATGCATCATCTAATTGATCCATGTTCCTTAGGACAGAGTTTCTATGTTCTTATGTCTCTGTGTTTGGTAGATTCTGTTTTTAAAGTCAAACTATGTAAATATGAGACCGGGAAATGTGCATCGTTTTGACTTCAAAATGTGTAAGATCACAGTTAATTGAACCATGTTTTTGTCTAAAGAATTAACCCAGTCATGGGTTTCTCTGTGCCGTTTTCTGCTTCTGTGCATTCAGCTTTTATCCATTTTCGGATGTTACAAACTCACTCAAATGTAATCAACAAGGGTAACGCTGGAAGAAAAATCTGTCATTGCTGTGCCCTAAACAAAAAAAAACAAAAACATTTTGCTTTCAATTGCACACTTTTTGTTCATCACATCCTCAAAAGTAGAAACATTGACAACTGAGAGCTGATAGACATGAATGCTTTTAGTAGATTAAGTACATCCCCAAACCAACTAATGGCCCTGAGGAGGGCTACTCTAATCTTTGTTTATCTTAAGTGAGCAGTGACATCAGTGAAATCACACAGATTAAAACTTTTTTTTTTTTTTAATCAGTTTTGCATTGCTGTTAACTGTCTGCCTCCCCCAGTGGACTTCAAAACAGACTTCATTATAAGATGAAGGCACAGACCATGAAATAGATGTTGGAAGCAACGCCACAATGCTGAGGGACCATCACCGGAGGCCTTTAAACATCCTCCATCAGAACATTTATTGCTTGTGAAAGAGAATTGGGTGTTGGTTTCCTCACGTCTCCGAGCTGTCACCTCACATGCAGGCCCGGGGATTTGACGGACACTGAATCCACCATTGGGGAGTTTAGGGATTGCCTGCCTTTGATCTTCTCCCACGACTCTCGATTACCCCATCGTTCAGCAGGGCTTACGCCCTGGAGAGAGAGAGAGAGTGGTATGTGTTAACACGAGCTCTGATGTACCCAGGAGACGCACACTTTACCAACTTAGACCTCACAAGGCCGATTACGCTGACATGCCGGGGGAAATGCGCACGAATCTTGTGTGTCGTCGCTGAAAACATGGCGAGTGTTAGACGGGGTTTGAGATGTGTCGGAGGAAAATGGGGAAAATTATTAGAAATGTAAAAGTCACGTCGTTTTCACACAAAGTCGATGGGCTTTCCGTAGATGCTCAAGGTTTCGTTTGAACTGGTCAGTATTGCTGAGTGCACAGTAATCTATGATTGATGTTCACCTGGGAAGACGTGCCATTGATTTTCCATAAGGTGCAGATGAAATGTGGGCACATGCACTCCTATTTTACCAACAGCCATATCATGTAATAAGTCATGATTTCACTGCAGCTGTCACTCATGGTGATGCTTCCTGTGACAATGTGACTATGGGGTTAGGGATTGCAGATAACCTAGAATTTCCTTTTCCTTCTCTTCTAAGCCAGTTGTTTTCTCTGCTATTTATGGTTTTTCGTCTTTGCATGTTTCAGGCTTCCTCAGCACGGGCGATCAGGCTGCTAAAGGGAACTACGGGCTGCTGGACCAGATTCAGGCTTTGAGGTGGATCAGCGAGAACATCGGCTTCTTCGGAGGAGATTCCAACCGCATTACCGTATTTGGATCTGGGATCGGAGCTTCCTGCGTCAGCCTGCTCACCCTCTCCCATCACTCCGAAGGTAGGGCATCGTTAAAAAAGCTGCTCTAGTAACTATTTGGAAGAAGAAGCATGCGTGTGTATTAGTGTAACTCCAAAATAACCCCTTATTTAATCCCACATGTAAATTTGAGCAATCTCTGCTGTTTTTTTTGTTTTTTTTTAAATCTAGGTCTTCATGCTAGACACAAGCATGTTGGCTTTATGTCTTTTCCAGGACAGGGTACAAAAGAACATGGCTTTATAAGGAGGAGGTAGCTATATTAAGGCTAAATGACGCACACAGTCTCTCACTGTCCTCTTTCTAAAGAGTGTTGTTTATCTCTTTGCTACCTTAATATTACCTCATGATGATTTACTGCTCATGTTGGCCATGACTTTAATACTTTATGCAGCTTTCGTGCTTGACGTGGACATCCAATAAACATCTCTCAAGCTCATGCTCTCCTAATGCATCGCTGAATTAAGATGGAGCTTTACCGCTAATACATAAGTAAGGTTCTGAAAGAAGCACTTTGGCTTGTACAAATAAGACCCGTGTGTTGGCGCTGAGCTCCATCTGTGGATATCGAGCTCCAGCTGTGTTCCTGCAGAGTCAACTTTATTGTCCTTAACCTGAAAACTGTTATTCATGCATCAGACCCAAGAGCCGTGTGTTGTCATGGATTCAATTAATAGCTCTGGTCATGTGTGCAACATGTAGATCGAAGCATGTAGTGGAAATGTTTCAAATAAGAGAGCTTTCCATTTAGTCCTTCCTGCGTAGCAAACATGCTGACATGAGGGAAACATTCTGCTTTTGGAAAATATGATTGAAAACATTAAATTGATTTTTTAAATTTTTTTAATTACCGGTATGTCCAACTGCCGCCCTACGTGCATATTGGTGTTTTTGGTAAAGATGTATTAGAAGCCTTAAAATGAAACCATTTTTTACTGCAGTAGCATGAACTCAGATTGCAAACTTTTCAAAAATCTGACCTTTAAATTGAGCGAATTTTTATGTGAGTAGAAATGATGCCATTTAGTCTTCCCAGTACTTACAGAAGAAAATCAGAGTTGGGAGAAAAATATTTGCATTTCCACTATATTCCCTGTCCTATTAACTAAAGTTCTATCCATCAATCCATGGTAATTTGTTTTGTCCTCATGAATTAAAAAAAACAAAAACATGGCTCTCTTTCAGTTTCAGTTATTAGATTTTTGTTTGAAATGCCTTGATATATTAAATAATCTTACAAGGTTCCTTTGTAGAACAAATCAACCCACAGCACCACAGAACCTCCACCGTAGTTACTCGCATTACATGCTTTTCCATAATTTCACCTTTTGAGGCACACCAGACCCATCTGGACTGCCTTTTTTATGACCCATCTTGGATTTAGTTTCATTTGATCAAAGTAAACAAATCCAGGTCAAGCCCCAGTAGAGGCTGTATACACTCTTAGTGGTTACATATTTGACTGAAAATATTTTTTCAGTATTATTCTCAAACTAATTTGCATCTAGGTAACATTTGTGAAAACTATAACAAGAAGCTATTCGCTACTTACTGTGAGCCAGTTTTTAGGTACAGTACATTCTTCAGGTCACCAAACTTACTGTAGGCAGGCACTGCTGTGCTGCAATTGAGTGTTTGAGTCACGCAGAAACAATAACAGCACATGCCAACATACACTAAATGCGTGCATTTTCATTTTCTTGTCACTCCAATAAATTCTGCATGTTTGATTAGCTGACCATTGTGCATTTGAAGAAGGTCGTGTGAGCTGAACCTCTTCTGGACCCGTTACAATGCCAGTGTTTGCAATCTGTTTATGTGTTCCCCAATTTGCAGTAAAGTGTTACTAATTGCCTTGATTTCCTCCAATGAATGATGACTGCTTTTGGATTGAATTTTTATCATAGATGCCTTTTTTTTTTATGCACTCTATAATGCCACGCTTCATGTAGCATGTTATTATACTGCTAGTGAAACCATCTCTTCTGCCTTCCAGTAAATTGGATATTACCGGGTCTGTTTTTTCCCCTGAATGGAAATGTATGCCCCACTGATGGGGTGAAAAAGAAAGGAGCAAGCAAAAACTTGAAGGGATCCTGGGAAATTGAAACAGGAAGCCTTCTATCACAGCAGGACTCTTGCTGCGAATGTTACCAATGGCAATCAGATTTCACACAGACTCTCTAGGAGCACAGATTGTTGTAATTATAGAAAGTTTAGGACTGGAGTGGGCTGCAGGATGCGACAGGAAATCCGAGTGGAGAAGTGTCTTTTTGCACCTGCTTTCAAAGCAGTCAGTGTAGCGAAAGCTGGTGGGATGCTCTTGTTGCCAAGTCAACGCAATAAACAGAGAGGAAACAAAAAAAAAGTTTTTATCTCCATAGCTGTGAAAATTGATGTAAAACTTGTTAATGTGCATTGTAAAAGTGTTCATAAACTGCAACATAACGTTAACTCTTTTTTTTTTCACTTTTTGTCATACAACCACAGAAGTCCATGAATGTCAACATTCTCACAGAGTAGTGTATAATTATCTCACGAAACTAAAAACATACAGGGTTTTAAAGTTTTTCTACAAGTAAAAATATGAAAAGTAAATATGCAGAATTAAGACCACAGGTTGTTTGGTAATGTGTCCAGTTGTACACATCTAGAGACTTAAATTTTGCCAATTGTTCTTTGAAGAAATTGCTAAAGCTCACTCTGAGTAAATGGAAAACATCTGTGAACATCGATCTTTAGATTTTGCAACATTTTCTCAATTACTGATCTAGACAAATCGAAGCAAGGCTAAGATCTCTAGACAGTCCTGCTCAAATGGCTGCTTCATTTCATTTCAACTATTCTAATAGATTATGTAAATGCTTGACCCACTTTTCTGATTTGTGTCAGTAAAAACATTTGAAAGCCATTAATTGTTTTTCTTCCACTTCAAAATTGAGCATTATTTGTTTTTGGCATAAATATCCTTAAGTTTTATGAAGTTTTTGTAATGTGATGAATTACTAAAAGACTCCAAAGACTATGAATACTTTAGCAAGGCACAGTATATTAAATTTATGAAATATGAACCAATCTTTTAAGCTTTTTTTCTTTTACATTTAAATAAACATTCTGGAAATATGACTCTAAGCGGATTATTGAATCTCTTGATGATTCCTTATTCCCATTTGCCCAAAAAACATAATCTTATCCTGTGTCCCTTGAAATCATAGGTGTGATTTGATATTGAATGTGTTGTATTTGGACTCCTATGAGAAATAAGGTAACATTGGATAAGATTAACTTGAGGAAATACACAACACTCACACAAGCTCTTTTTTTTTCTTTCTTAGTTTCTTCTCAGATCCAGGAAATTGAAATCCAAATAAAAAGAAAACAGAAAAAGCAAACCAACGGCGATGCTGCACTGTTCCCAAGTTCCCCTGGTGTGTTGGTGTCTTTAATGACAGCGGTTCTACTCATACTGTGCACTCCCTGTGAACATTCTGCATAGACTTTCAATATAACAGACACTTCTTTATGCCTATCGGTGGCTTGGATCCTCTGTACTCCTCCTGAAGGTTATTTAATAAGCTGAATCTTCTTATATCGCCCCGGCCCTCCGGCTTCTTTCTTTGATTACCTGCTCCTCCGGCCTGGCCTTGGTGCCCACCCTAACGTGGGCGTGCCGAGAGTTCCAGTCACAAGATACATCCATCACATAGCCCTCTCCCCTCTGGCTTGTTTGAGGGACCTGGATCACCTCTCATGTGGACTTGATTTTTATTTATTTATTTATTTTATATTTTTTTTTATCTCAGACTCCAGTCCAGACTGAGCCCAACATCTAATCTTCCCTTTACTGGACCCATCTGTCTCCCCTGCCTCCGCAAAACAGTAAAACCACGCAACGTCTCCAGCGGTCTCTCTCCATTTCTCCCGCTGCAGGCTCCTGCTCCCCAGTCCGCTGCATGTGTGCTGTGTTGCTATTAATAAGATGGCTTCCTGGTCCGCTATGTGCCCATCTAGCTGCACATCTGTGACTGAAGAAGCGAAATGGTCATTAAAGGCACAGTCTCTCTTGGCAGTAGAGTGTTTCTGACCAGCTTATTAAATGTAGCTCAACAATTGTGTTCCCAGGGAGGGAGGAATCTCCGTCTAAATCTTCTCTTCCCTCGGCTTCAAAAAGAAAAACAGCAAAGGAATTTTCGAAGCAAGGACATTAGTCAGTCCCACATATTATCTATTTGGCATCGCAAAGGCACTAATTGAACATGCAGACTTCTTTCCCCCTATCTCGTAATAATCATTATGATTTAAACAGTGAGATGACATCTCCGTACATGGCAGGAATACCAAATAGCCAGGGATGTATTTGCATACATGTCTTTAGGCGCATATTAAAGTCCACATCCTTTTTTTTTTTGCTCATTTTGAATAAAAAGAAAACGCATATCACATCCTTGCATATTTTTATCAGCATATGTGTTCAATTTTTGCATGTCTGGGTGGAAATGGCTCTGTTCACAGATCACATGTGAGGGGCTAGTTGCAAAGGCGCTGAAGGTCGTTTGGTTTCTTTTTTTTTCCCCCTCCCTCTCTCTTCCTGTAAGCAATCAGGATAAAAGCTCTGCTTCTAAGGAAGTGCTCTCCTTTTAATGGAATGTCTTGGACATTAAAGACAGCTAGTGTGGAGGATCCTTCATGCCAATGTCAGCTTTCATTTTTATTAAGACTTCTGGGTTATTGAGGACCATAAATACAGATGTTAAATGCTTTGGTTTTATTGCAGAACTGCAAGAAGTGCAGAGGCTTTTGATAATGCAGGAAATCCCTCTTGCAACATGCAAGCCACCTTGATCCAGGAGCGTTGCATGAGTGCTCCTTTTTTTTTTTAGTTTTTGAATCTAATTATGAAAAAGAATTGCACATAAGATGATTAGGTGATACAATCTTTTATGACATCCAGAAGCTGATGTTCAGAGAGAGCTTCCACTTAAATATTGATTATGAACTTCATTCATGGCTGCTGCTCATTT